TATATATCCCTATATGGAAAATTCGCTAAAATTCGGTCCATTAACGACATTTGTTTGTGTTTATGATCCATACTGTTTTTGTTCTTATATCCGTGGAATAATGCTACTGTATGAGCTACTTCCTGATCTACTGCATTTAAAAGTCAACGGCCGATCTTATGCCTTTATTTGTGTATCAAATACTGCTTCGATAAGGATAACATGAAAATTAAGACCCATGGTATAGATTCCTAAGAGAACGGTTTAACCCCATTGTTGTTGGCACTCACCGATATCTTCTTAAACGCCATGCAAAATTTAAATATATTGCTTCAAACGTCTAGGACTAGTTTGCGTGACGAAATGCGTAAGAGTCGACCACGAGACGACGTTAAGAGCTTCGCTTGCTCCGCCCAATGAAACCATATTTGAAGTTTTAGTCAAATAGATATTAAAACAATATTTTGCCCGAAGACAACATAAATGTTATTGTCTTGTTGCAATGTTTTCTGGTACAATTAAATGTGATGGAAACCGTTTATGTTAAAACTAAAACAACCTCTTTTCTATATCCCTCCCTTTTGTTTAATTTGTCATGAATTAGCACACGTCTTTTTACGTGCTTCGCAAGAACTGGAATTCAAATACAACAATTTAGCATTTATAACTATAAGCTAAACCCCTGCAATGCAGAAACGCGTATGACAATGCATGGTTGGGAGGGTATGGGGGTATAAAGCCCTTCAGGGAGTTACAGACATCGTTCATTACAATTATCGCTTTAAACCTCCAACATTATAGGTATAATTATTGGCACCAATGCTGAGATTGACTGACCTTGTTATCTCTTTTTAAACATAAAAATAAAATTAAAAAAAGAGAACGAGTGATGTATAAATTTCTGTTAAAACTAAATTACTGCAAATTTGGAATTTGCTTTGAAAAGGTATAGCAAAACAAAAAAGCTCAATGAGAAAAATCAAATTTGGATTAAAATTATTGTAAGTACAGTCTACTCAGTATGTATTTCTTATCATTTAACTTGATTAAGAGGTTATGTAAAATGATTTACATGCCGTACAGAGTTACTCGTAATGCCTACTGTTTCATAGAATAAGAGAATTATACTAAGTTTATTTTTTGTTCTCTCAACTCTATCATAAAGTAGTCTTATTCACCAAGATACAAAATTATCCTATATTAGAGAAGAAATAAAAAATCGAAGCGAAAAATATCAAAGAAAATTAGAAAGCCATCCAAATTTCCTGTCAGTTAACCTCCTCGATAATAGTGAAGCTACATATAGGCTCAAAAGAGTTAATCCAGTACGGTTTCAGCTCTCTGGATTGGAACGTCACGAAGAAAAGAACAGAATAATCCAATAGACCTTCCAATTCGTTTTTAGTTAAACTTTTTATAAGTTTTTTTGTATGTTAGTGCACTTGATGGAATGTAACTAACCCCAGGTTAAAATTGTCATGAAATTTACTTAGGTATTGTTCTAGTATATAGAATATATAGATATATAGAATATATAGAATATATATATATAGTATATAGATTGTAAATAAATACTTGTAAAAAAAATCTGACAACTACAACCACAGACTATAGAACCAATCGCAGCCTCCACGCTCTCTTGTTGCTGTTCTGCTGTATTTATAATTATTATTGATGCACCTGTATCATATCACTATCACTATCACCCACTTGACTACTCCCACCATCATGATTCATCAAACGAATGTGTCATGCGGTTTGATAAAGATATTCTTCAAGTTATCTCTGTTATAAATTCCAGTTTCTGAGTATAATTATTTGCTTGTAAACATAGTTTGAAAACTGAGAAGGGCAGCACCATGTCCTGATGACTTGCTCTTATTTTGAGATAACAATCTCATCTTAATCTTTTGGCCATTAAACTTTATATGTTATCACAAAATAAATGTTTATTACCCATAACACCTTTTTAAATAATTCACGTTGCTGTAGGGATAGATTGACCACGGAAAGATATGTTTTTTACTCTTTTGGAAGTCAATTAGTCTATCGCAAATCCTTGTTTTTACAATAGGTTCACAAAAACGTCCTCCCTTTGGCTGATGTTCGTTGACGTATTCAAAGGATCAACACTTGCAATTTTCTGCCAGGCATGTAAATCACTAATTTCGTTCATCAAATGACTTTCCGAAAACTGCTAATGACATCCTAAACGTAAGTTAATTAACTAATAACAACAATTGTCTGCGAACTATTTTCTCGAGAATAAGCAGATCGAGCTACGTCCTACAGACTAATCTAGTTCCGTTCCCACTGGGGAGAATTAATTGGTCAGTGTCAGAGACAACAACACGATAAACACATTTATGTTCATCCCTAACACCTCTCACGCTGTGGACGGTTTACTCTATTCTCTTCAGCAGAAAATCGTGGATTTATGGAGTCGTAACCTATCCATCAGTTTTGCGTAAGAGGTCTGGCACGTTCTAGGCCCAATAGACAATGATATTCATGAATATGAAAGAGTAGTTGATGGTCGGTGTACGCAGATGTCGAGGCGGGTTACTCAGCTGTTAACATGTGACTCACATTCAACTCAGCAGCGAAACTGATTCATACCAGTCAGTAGCGTAGATGCTCATTGTCATTCAATAACTAATAGTCAATGCATACAGACATTCATCTTTAGCCAGTCTAATTGAAAAAAAAAAATCACCAGTCGAATAAACCTCATAAACCATATGCAACCATTATTATGTATAGTTTACCTCATAACATCTTTGTTCAGATTATGTCACCTTAATAACAATGAGTTGAATTTTTTGATTGCCGATTGATATAGAAAACAGAAGGCAAACAATCTGTATGAAGTCTCATGACAATCATTTAACATTGTTGGTAGGAATCATGACACGGGCAGACGTTACAACTCTCTTAGTTACAGAGGTCGATGAATAACTCTCACCTTAAATTATAATCCATCTTGAATAACGGAATGGAGATGGCCAAGCTGCTTAAATTAGTCTCCATTACTGCTTGCTCTGGTGTTTTAATTAGAAGTCGTTAGCATAGATTAAGTGTTACGAGAGGTCGTCCAGTGGTCGAAACTCGACCAAAAATATGTAATGTAAACTTACTCACTTCTTTATTTTCACCCCACACTGTATAAATAAAACATGTGATTGGAGTTTCTTCCATTTGTTTTGATTTTCTGTTTATATTTCGTTGTTATTTCGTCACCACCATGGCAACGCATAAGATCCATGTTAATTTTTTCAAATTTTTAAACACATTTTTTGTGCTTATCTTTGAGCCTATTTAAATTTATAAAGGGATTCTGCACACCTACAGGAAAATAGCTTTCTAACGGTATGCGTAGATTTACCCCACGATGCACACGAGCTGAGAAAAAAGGTTTTAAAGAAACATGCTTGCCTATTAATATATAGATAGATAGATTAGTTTCAGACTGACGACCAGAACACAGTACTGTACTCTTATGGCCAATGTCTCGCTAACTATGAGCATTTTACCGCTTTTCGTGCATCATATAGGTAACTGCAGTTCCGGCCGATAAAGTGATAGTTTTATGAGCAGTACTCATAATAGGTATAGTAGGATTGACTGTTTACCATAATACCATGATAGTTGTAAATCCCCTATAAAGAGTAGTTGAGTAGTTTCTAAGAGACTTACTGCTTACTGTGTTTTGCAGCCCAAAGCAACTTGTTCGTTGATCATTTTACTTTTGCTTTTATCGGGGAGGTATTCCCGTTTACACTACTTTGGAGGCACTATCCCACAGAAAAGTTCTATTCAAAGTTCTATTCCAAAAGAGTAAGAGGGACTTGTTGGTGGTCCCGAGATATAGTTGACGTAGTGAGAGATTGATTAGCTTCCGTAGGGTAAAACTAGACGAATTTATTTGGAATAAGTGATGTAAACGACATTTCGCTTACATCCACCAAGGATATGCGAAATTACATATTTTGTTCTCACTGAATATTGTTAAAAGAATTAATGTTGAAAAGGTTGACGACAAAACAATTTTCTATCATCGGGTTTTCAAGTATAAAACAACAAGCTAAGTCGATTAAAACAATCTTAAACTAAACTATACATTGTGTATCTTGCCTTTTTAGCGAATTTCCCTATAGGGAAGTAGCTATTACCGTAGGTCTCATGGTAAGACCTAGGCCCGGGACCGATTTACTTTTTCATTTTGATGTCCCCAGAGGCCAAAAACACCATTCGTTCAAATTTTTATATATCTATATATAGAGATATATATATATATATATATATATATATATATATATATATATATATGTGTCCATCCGCACGATAACTTGAGTAATTTTTGTCCGATTTTGATAAAATTTGGTTTGAAGGTGTAAGGCGGGATAAACTCGAACGAGTTCGCGAACCAGCATGATCGGACTATGGGAACGGGGGTTTACGGGGGGTTTTATGGGGTAAAAATAGGTTTTTCCCATTTTTGACCCAAAAAAAATAAAATTTTGCAAAATCTTTTCAAACCATTTTGTAGAGCTTAAAAAAACAAATAATTTAGTATATTGAAGTGTTAGTATGCGCCTAATGGTTACGAAGAAAATTCCAAAAAAATGTAAATTTTAAATTCCCATGTTATTCTTATGGAGAATGAGTAAACTGTTGTAGTTTGCTTGTTTATGAACATATTTTGATCAAATTTGGAAAATGTTTTTATTTCTTACTAACTATTAACATTTTACAAAAAAAAGTTTTACCCTCCCTGATGCAGCAAACCTAAGAACCTGTTAAAATAATTCTATTTAAATAGGAAATAAATGTTAAATTTTTAAGTAGACATTTTAGTGTAAATCCAATCAGACATATATGGAAATTCGCTTAGTCTGCAGGTTTGCTGCGGCGGGGGTATTTATATGTAGAGGTAGCGAAAGCATATGTATTATATTTTTAATTACGATTTAACTGGACTTGGGGTGAGATTATTTTAAATGCTTTCACTCCTGTTTCAGGTGAAGAGCGACGATGAACTGACAAGATGAACGTACAGAACCTCAAACGTCACTTCAACAGCCAGGACGCGCGGCCGAGCTCTGTGGAGGCCCTCAGGCTACAATTCAGCAACCCCGAGTCGCGACCTAGCCCTGCTGTGGCGAGGACACAGATACCAGTGGCTAGGTTCGGACAACGGCCTCCGACCTCCCCTCATGGCAGCGACCTGCTGACCAATGGTCACTCTGTGACGTCACCTACCAGCAATGGCAACTACACGACACAACTGTCGCCGACGCCGACGCCGGACCGATGGAGGCTCAAGTATGAGGAGGCCGAGAAGAGGCGGAAGACACTGCTCTCTCAGAACCAGAAACGTGAGTATAAAGACTTAAACAAGTGTAGGTATGTTGGAAATACTAAATGCTGAACTTACTGGGATTGTACATCTTACTCCGTTGAGCTAGCGTTCAGGACCCAGGAGGGTCAGAGATTTGGTCAGTGAACTCGGTCCGTTTCCGGCTTATCTTACATAAATGGGATTGACAATGACACCATGCAGAACTAGGGGATAACACACTCATGCTCTATTATTTTCAACGATCTGACGTAGAGAAACTACCTAGAATAATACCTGATACATTCAATGTGATTTTATTAGATACTAGGTGAAACCTGTCGAAATAGACGGTTACTTTCGAGGCTTCATCTAACTGCGATAAACAGAGTGAAATTATACCAATTTTGAGCATTTAGCATTGTTTAATGGGTAATAAATGCAAAAACTATAATGACTATTGACCCTATTGTGTTAGTTACAAAATATGGTTGATCATTCAAGAATAAAATATTTCCCATGCCGTAGGATACGTTATCGGTGTTATTATTACTATGTTAAGTGGTTTTTCTTCTATTGGAAGAACCTTTATATAGTACTAAAATCGTATTGGTACATCTTTTGTGGCAAACACTTTCGCAATGGGTAAGAATGTAAAGGGTGTATCGGTAATCAGTATTATAGGCTTGTTATTTTAGCTTGTTTGGTACAACTTCACAATTACGAGGATCAGGTATAATCTCGCAAACCAAAAAGAACAGTATTTCTTGAAACCAAATTTTTCTTATAAAAATTATGTAGGCTATATCAAAATTATCCATCAAAATCTTTCAAGAAATCATTACGCGTAATGTAACTTGATCAAATATAATTATTGTTGACGTAACTTCCCAAACCTAATATGTTCCATTTGATTAGGTAGGCCTATATCATTTTCATAAACAGAACCATCGCACTTGCATTCGCCATTGATCGTGTACACTGTATCTGTATAGAGTTCCTCGCTCACACCCACCAGCGATCTCGCGTGTACACCAAACAAATGGAAATACGAAGGTCGGTATTGATAATTAATGAGTTTCTCTAACGCATCGTTATTCACTGCAGGTGTAGTCGTGGGTGTAAACTGCACACTGTGCATAGCTCAGTCTCTGTACGTCCATTGATTGATGTGGTTCTATGATCGTCTAGCTGGGGAGGAGACATTACGTACCACAAGACATTCACGCCTGTGTTCATTTAACGAGTAGAATGCGGCAATAGGCTCTGGTGACAAGGATATTATCAGCCAAGGATACTGTCTAAACAAGGAGCCTGCCTGTCTTTCCATCACATAATAACCAAACAGATTATGCTGCAATTTCACACGAAGCTACCGTGTCGATAAGGAGTGTCACTTGCATTTTGCCGTTAAGGTTTTTTTTTTCCAGTCTTTTAATGTTAGGATAGACTAGCAGAGTTATGGGGCACTGGGAAGAACATACTGATTAGTCTACGTGGCAACGAAAAATATAACTAAAATGCTGACATCTAATTGAGCGGAGCGAAGCAAAGCTCTTTGGGATCGGCTTCAATGCAAACTTTCTTGACACTATCACTCAATAACGGCTGAACATATTCTAGCCAAACCTTCCAAGGTTGTTTCGACAAATGTTTGGAAGGTTTAAGACGAAACAACTTCAATTTTTGATAATGCCTAGATGATTTAAAAGTTGCTCAAAATTTTTAAATGTTAACATTGGCTGTATGCGTTGCCATGATGGTTACAAAATAACCATATATAATCATTTATAGATAAATGCAGGACAATTTCTCCATGCATTGCCAAAAATCTGGCAAAGATTGAGAAAATTTCGATTAGTTGGATTCAACCCGACTTGTGGGTTCACCAGATGAGATTGGCAAGCAAACATAGAAACAATACCGATACAAAGTATATGTAAGTAATGTCCTCATCTTTACCTATGAAACTTGTTATAGATGTTGATATTTCTGAGACAATCTGATAAGTTAAATTGATGAAATAGTTATATTATACCTATAAACGTTGTTTTAATTTATTGCTTTATTAAAAACCATGAAACGTATGATTGCTGATTGCCGCTCAACTGTTATGAAAGCCATATTAGTTTACTAGATCCACATAACTATTAAGCCTCAAGTACGATTTTTTACTGCGCTATCTACGTGTTTACTTTGTAAATTATAGTTACCGTGATTCACCTCCTTCCAAAGAAATCTCAAAGTAATGTTACCATTACCAATAACTAGTAAGCGGTCGTGCCTTATCACCAGCTCAGCTGTTAGCAGTGAAAGGTCGTGTGATTATGTCTCCCATCCACCTCATAGGTATTGTTGTTGCTTGTTAATTTTATCACTTTTTTATATAGTCTAGGTCTAAATAACCGATTTTAGAATTTATATTTTATCATTTTTTACTTTCCAAAGAAATTTATTTCTCTTTCTAATTACACAAGTTGTCCAAATTGTATTCACTAAAAATATATTATCTTGAAGACAATCGAAGTTAAAAATGTGTTAAGATAACAGCATGGAGTGCTATTGTCACGCATTCTACTTTCTTCCATACATAGTATGGAGAAAGTATTGCTTTTGTAAAGATTTTCGAGTTTGAGTTTTTCAAATTTATGTTTTTTTCCCATCAGTTACTCCCGCCACCGCTTACTTACTAACAAATAACTATGAATTTCAAGTTTAATGTCAGGCTAAAGGAAGAAAAATTATGTTTAAGTTTGGTGATACGGTTTATTTATTTTTGGTTTTTTTTTCAAAATTTGTGGTGTTAAAAAAACTATTGTTATTGGGTTTCTTATGGACGATCTCAGTACCGTACATTTTATTTTGAAAGGAAATTATTATTTTATGACAACCATGTGAGGTGAAGATTGAACATGTCCTCCTTCTTGAATATAATCATGACTCGTCTGGGCTCAGCAGATTGGTTAAATTAACTGTTAAATAATTACAAATGTTTCCAACCCAAATATAACTAACTAAACTGCAGATTTAATTTTACCCTCATCATAGTTCTTATTCCATAATTATTCTTAAATTTTATCATTATGGATTATGTACAAAGTCCAGATAGAGGATGTACAGTATAATAAATTAAATCTCCATTTTTTAATAAAATATAAATCCGAAGCTAGCATTTGATCTATGGTCAGATCCCTCATTACTGTAGGGCCCAGGTCCAGTATTGTTCCAAGACCGTTATGTTTAATAAGCCTACCCTAGCGGCTTGTAGACTATTGCTCAACAGCTCGTCGTAGCCTAGCAGGTCGTGGGCGATACACGACACTCGCCGACTGCTTTGTGTTGTCCCGCCAAATTTACTGGCAAAATTTCCAGCTCCTTCTAGTTTTTATATGCAGTAACGTATAGGCTGAATGGTTTGTTTCGTTAGAAGGATCCTTGAAGAGTTCGTTTGATCTGTTCTTCGTACGTCATTACAACTAATTTTTCTTGTCAGCTTTTGCCATCTTCTTACCAGTTGTTTATTTTCTCTTACCTAATCTGTTTCGTTTCTTTGAACCTCTGGTAGTTCTACTCTTCTCGTCTTTGACTTTCTCCTTCAGTTAAACTCGTCTCTGGGTTGCTTATATACTGCTTATATGTTTTATAAGTTTTCAAATTATAAGGGTATGAAACCAAACCCTTGTAAAATACGTACCGGTAGCATTAATTCTCCTTTAGATTCCTATTCATTTTTTGCTTGAACTAAAACTACAAGTATGTATACAACAAAAACCGTAGCCACTATTTCTTCTCATAGCTACCATAAAAATAGTGACTATACCGCATGACTCATCGAAAAAGCCGAAGGTGAAGGTTAATGTACCGGTTGTGCTCTTTGATGACTAATATGCTCATTTGCTAGTCACACGAGAACTGCCAAAATACTGACCGCAGCTTCATTCATGACTCACTCGAGTGTCGAGTATGAGTGTTCGGTATCTCAAACACGATAGTAGTGTGTCCAACCTTGGCCTCGGTTAACGATAACCGTGAAGGGACAACAACTTGGGAGACCCAGGCCGCTTCCCCTAGAACCAACAAAGCCTTAAACCATTAGCTAAAACAGTCATGTATTACGCATATTAGTTGAGCGGAGCGAGCGAAGCGAGCGAAGCTCTTATACATCGACTCTTATGCATTTCGTAATACGCAAACTCCTCCTAGACGGCTGAATCAATCGTTTTCAAATTTTGCATGGTGATAAAGACCATATCGGTGAGTGCCAACATCTATATGGCGTTCAAAAAGTCTCTCAGGAATCCGCCCCACTGGGTCTCAAAGTTTCAATGTAATCCTTATGGAAGCAGTATTTGACACATAAACAAAGACATATGATCAGCTGTTGACTTTTGAATGCAGTAGATAAAGAAATAGCTGATAGCATTATTCCACAGATATTAGAACAGAAACGGTATGGATCATAAATACTAATCAAATGACGACATTAGCATGAGGTCCGCGACGTAGGAAGTGGTGAAGGAAGTAGTAAAGGCGAGCAGTCTGGAGTGTGGAAACTGTTTATGACGATTAGATGAAGGTATTTGCATTCCTTAAATTCTATGGGAAGAGAGGAAAACCCGTCCGTGACGTAGGAAGTGTTGAAGGAAGTAGTAAAGGCGAGCAGTCTGGAGTGTGGAAACTGTTTATGACGATTAGATTAAGGTATCTGCATTCCTAAAATTCTACGGTAAACAGGTCCGCGACGCAGGAAGTGATGAAGGAAGTAGTAAAGGCGAGCAGTCTGGAGTGTGGAAACTGTTTATGACGATTAGATTAAGGTATCTGCATTCCTAAAATTCTACGGTAAACAGGTCCGCGACGCAGGAAGTGATGAAGGAAGTAGTAAAGGCGAGCAGTCTGGAGTGTGGAAACTGTTTATGACGATTAGATTAAGGTATCTGCAATCCTAAAATTCTATTGGATGAGGAAAACAGGTCCGTGACGTAGGAAGTAGTGAAGGTAGTAGTCAAGGCGAGCTGTTCGGAGTGCGGGAACTGTTTA